CTGCCAGAGCCAGAGTTTCTAAATCTTTATAAATTAATCAAAAATAATACTTCCCTTGCAATGATACCATGAGAATTAAATGAGAAAACAAAGTGAAGCACCTTGAAAATTGCTGGGACCCCATAGAGGCTTCAGTCAGCAAATAGCTGTTGTTGCTACCGTTATTATTATTATGACTCCTATTTGTAAAGTAGAAGAAAATGTCCTACCTATATTTCTTCCTCTAGCCTTTTTGGAATATTTAGAAAAACATCCGTGTAATAAAGGTTAGATCTTTGGCCTCTTAACTGTGCATGGCAGAGCTGGCCTGGGGGTTTAGAGAATGTACTGTGTATAAATACAGACCCTGCCACTAGCCAACTGTATAATACTCAGCTAAATCTCTTCTGAGCCTCAGGGAGCTTATCTGTAAAATGGGGATGGTAATTCCACTGTACAGAACTGGTCTGACGATTGCATGAGTTAATACACATAGTGGAACATTTAGAACAGTGCCTGGTGGTGGTTCTATAAGCAGTCAACAGGTGTTTGTAGCTTGTCCGTTAGGAGCGCCGGCTCTGCTCCCCAGGCCCTGTGGTAGCTGCCTCAAGCCTTCCCCTCAGCCCGCTGCAGTATCTCAGACACAGAGTAAAGAGATACTGATACCAACTACACAGAGGCTTGTTGCAAGGATCAGTGTCAAAAGTGTCAGTTCCACGAGGGCAAGGATTTTTTTTTTTTTTTAATGTTTTGTTCTTCACCACGTCTCCAGAGACTGAAACAGTGCTTCATACCCAATAGGGCTCTTTTTGAATGAATGAATGAATGAATGAGATCACGTAAATAAGCATTACCATCCAAGTTCTGCATACATATTGGGGGAGTCCCTTAGATTTCAGTGTTTTTCTCACATTTTAGTCTGCTCTTTTAATTCAGATAATGAGGTATCCCCAGGTGCAAGCATCTGGTTATGAATTGCAATTTTCAGCCGTCCTTAAAAATCTAACTGCAAGGCAGTAATGCAGGTGTTCCCCTCACTTCACGGCAAGGAGATTTATGATTGATCTGAACTCCGTGGCATAAACAGATGCTCCGTGGCACCTCCTCCCTCTGCTGCTGAACGTTAATGAGTAAATGTTACTAAGCTGCTAAGTGGCTGCTGTGGCAGCCACCGAGTGGCTTGCCCTGTCCACGGCTGCCGCAGCCTGCCACCAAGGGGTCCCCTCGGGCATGCCTGATGTCATGGGGCCAGACAACCTGAGCTCACAGGTCTGGGGAGAGCCCAGGCTGCAGAGACCCCCCCCCCCGGAAAAGCGAATGAGACCTGCGAGTCCCCGAACATGGTACCCAATTACCCTGTGCTGTTTTTTTTTCTTCTGAATATTGTCCTTGGGTCTGAAGCAGATGGCATGAAGCCAAGGAGACACGCTAATAGCTCTCTCCAGAAAAGTGTGCACAGCCCATCTGTTGGTTCCTTGTGGGGAGAAAAAAGACAGGGGGAAAGAAAAACCTGCCACCAACAGTAGAATCATTAGACCTCCCAGCACTCAGCCAGTCTTGGAGTTGAATTGTATACTTGGCAAAATGCAGCGAAGGCATTGACTCCACTATGACTCATTCACATTTACAGAGACTGCCTCCAGTCTCAGGCATTTATGGAGCAGCTGAGGTGTGCTCCAAACAGCGCTAGACACAGAGGACAGGGAAAGAAAAGATAGAGGGTTTCTGCTAGCAGGTGGTTTCTTGTCTAAGGAGGGAAGACAGGACGACTGGGCAGTTACAACACAGTGAGACAAGTGCCATCAGAGAGATGAACACTGGGGTCTGCAGAAGCCCAGAGAAGGAGAACCAGTGGAGTCCAGAGGGCAGGGAAGGCACCCAGCAGCAGCGACGCTGAGCGGATTCTCAGAGAGTCCGTAAGGAGTAGCCACGTGAGGTAGGGGTGGCTTCCCAGGCCGAAGCACCAGCAGAGATGGAGAGAGCGGATGGGGGGGGGGGCGGTTTGTATTTGCAACTGCTGCAGGGCAAAGGTGCCAGTGAAAATGGGCTGAAGAGCTGGGAAGGGGCTTGATCCCTAAAGGCTCCTAAGCCAAGCTAAGGTATCTGAACCTTTTACTCCAGACAATGAGACACTATATTTGCATTTTAGAGCAGTCCTCCGGTGGAAGCAAAATGAGAGACAGCCTGGCTGGAGGCTGAAACCTTCCATCCCTTCACCAAAATGGGCATTGAAAGATCCGTGTCTCCACCACGTCAGACCCAGTGCCCCCTTTTTAGGACAGATATTTGTAATGTCTCCTTTAAATTCTTGAAATGAAATTCACAGATAATATAACTTAGCCACACGGTTTTTTAAAAATCAATATAATGCCGTCATTCGAATATAAGGAGGAAATTTTTAAAAGCTCATTTTTAATAAAAAGCTATCTATTTCAATAAGGAAAATACCCAGGCACATCCACACTAGAGGTCCTACTAAGTGGTCAGGTGTGTAGACCTATCAACAGAGTCACTGCAGGTATAGACGGACCCCGGAACACTGTGTTGGCCCGAATCCCATGGGAAGGGTTTCTGTCAGGAACCACAGCTTCCCCAAATGGTGAGCAAATCTTGACCGTGTTCCAGACAAAACGAAATACAGACGGCCCTCAATGTACACAGTTGTTACAATCCTGGAAAACTAAGTGCACTAATACTATGCAAAGAAACTTTGAATTTCTAGGTAATTCAAAGTCCAGCCCATACTCAAATAATCGTAGACAGAACGTGGGGGACTTGTTCGTTGCGCACGTTGGTCTCACCCACTGTAGGATATCAGGTACCCAAGCTCTCCTCCTCTTAAGTGCAGGTGGTGTCTCCCTCTAACAAGTTATCCTGACAGCCAAAATACACCCCGCAAATGTCCTCATCATCCCCCGCAGGGGGCGATAGCACTCCCATTGAGAACCGGTGGGCCCCATCAAAGCTAATCAGAAAAAGAGAAAAACAGTTGCGGAATTCTTAGTCTGTTGGTAGGCTCAAGTCACTGCCTTACGATGTGACAGGTGAGGTGAGAGGCAATGCAAGCAGCTCTCCGGTCTGAAATGTCCGCACCAACACCTCATCACCCCTCTTTCTTCAGGGCCCAGGGCTAAGTGATCACATAAGGATATGGTCTGTTTGGCTTGTCGACGCTCCGTAAGAGCATGTCCAGCATCCTGCTGGATTCATCCGCTAGAAGCCCGTGTGCCCTGTCTGGAACCTCCTCTCACCTCACAAGGAAATGGCCGGATGTGGAATGTTGTCCCCATTCCTTAGCCATCAGTTGTAGGGCAGGGGATCTGAGGCTGGAGCATGAGGGAGGCAGTGGGTGAAACCGCACACAGTTTCTCTGGGCTTCCCAGAGTCCCTGACAGCACCCAGGACACACATGATCAGTGCCACAGTGCCTGCCCACCTTCCCTTTGGAAGTTGCTAGGCTACCCTGCACCCACTCTTCTTTTCCTAGCCTCACTGCTGTACACAAGCAAACTCCTTCTGACAGCCATGAAAAGGCTGGTTTTGAGAGGTCAGGCCAACCCAGCTTCTCCCTCCTCTTCTCTGCCCGGCCTGGGCATCTGTCTCCTGGGCTCAGCTGCACACGCACGTGGTTACGTGGCCCTCAGGGAAGGGCAGGGGTCACTGGAAGGACCTGGGAGTTTCTCTGGGCCCACCCACAGTTTGCTGCAACCCCAGGTGGGTGACCAGGCCAGGTGCACTTTGCAAAGGTCAGAAATTGGTCTTGGCCATCTGGGTGGGGCAGTGTGATGCAGAGGGAAGAACACTAGCTCTGGGGACGGGTGACCTCAGTTCAGATCCTGATTCCCCTTCATGCTGGCTGCGTGACCCCAAGCACAGCCTTCCCCTCTCTGAGCACCAATATCCTTATCCCTGGCGTGGGGATGGTAATACCCACTCTGTAGGGATTTTGTGAGGATGTAAAGCACCAACTGCTGAACCTAGAACAGTGTAGGCACTTAATAAGTGGAAAAAGTTATCTGTGTTAGTCTTGCTACTGTGAGAAGTGTTACTTGTGCTCTTCTTAAAACGATTATATCTCATCTGAAAGGAATTAGCACAGCCAACAATTAACATGGTAATGTATGTGCGTAGACCCCTGGAGTTGTGCGGTACCCAACCTTTGCCACTCTATGAGGGGCTCCTGAGTAAGTAGACAGTCACCTAAAATTGGCGTCGTAACAGTTATATGTTAATAATGTATGATAATCCCTGGAGCTACCATTTATTGCCTGGCTGCTATGGACCAAGCAAGGTATTACGTACTTTCTGGGCTCTATCTGATTCAAATCCCACTAAGTGCTAACATTTACTGAATGCTCACTCTGTGTCAGGTACAGTACTCTACCTCAAATAGGTCCTCTCTGTTTGTCTTTAAACCGAGCCCGTGAGGCAGACGGTATTCTGTGCCCATTTTACAGATAAGGAGATAGAGGACGAGAGAGCTTGTGGAGCTCTCCATCAATTCCAGAGGTGAGAAGGGGCAGTCCGAATGTTAACCTAAGCCTCAAAACCCCGACACTCCCGACTCTTCTACCCTTGGCACCTGGCTTCGATGCTGAAAAGGACGATCTTACAACCCGGCTTCCAACAAAGAGCCTGACTTTTAGAGAGCTTAAGCGGTCGGTCTGGTGAGAAGGGGAGGCAGGACTCAAACCCACATGGGCCCGATTTCTAGTCCTCTGTCTTTTCCACTGAGACACACCAGCACCTGAGGCTGTGTGGGGTCAGAAACCTTGAATGGTTATAGCAGCATCACCATTATCTCCCAGATTTCTGCCTGGCTTGCTCGCTCACCACATTCTAGTTTCCCCTTACGAATCACCTCCTTCGAGAGGTTTCCCCTGCCCATTGCTCTAGAAGGAATGCTCCAAGAGAGCAGGGACTTTTGTCTTACTCATCCTTGTCCCCGGTCTGTGGCGCAGAGCCTGATACCGTATCTTTCTGCCGATCCCTCGAATCCATGAATTCTTTTTTTCCCAGGTGCCTGACTCTTCTTTTTCACCCTTCCAGGTTATGTTGCAATGGGCGCCGTCCTCCCATCCTTCTGGGGCCAGCAGCCCCTCGTCCAACAGCAGATCGCCATGGGTGCTCAGCCACCAGTCGCTCAGGTGATGCCGGGGGCTCAGCCCATCGCCTGGGGCCAGCCGGGTCTCTTCCCCGCCACTCAGCAGCCCTGGCCAGCTGTGGCCGGGCAGTTCCCGCCAGCCGCCTTCATGCCCACACAAACTGTTATGCCTTTGCCAGCCGCCATGTTCCAAGGTCCCCTCACCCCCCTTGCAGCCGTCCCAACCACGGGTGACTCCACCAGGGCAAGTCCACAGACCGCGACGCCCAGACAGAAAATGGGGAAAGAAATGTTTAAGGATTTCCAGATGGCCCAGCCTCCGCCCGTGCCCTCCCGCAAACCCGACCAACCCTCCCTCACCTGTACCTCAGAGGCCTTCTCCAGTTACTTCAACAAAGTCGGGGTGGCACAGGACACAGACGACTGTGATGACTTTGACATCTCCCAGTTGAATTTGACCCCCGTGACTTCTACCACGCCATCAACCAACTCACGTGAGTGCCCTTCTGCGGAGACGTAAATCCACTGAGAGTGATGCTTTGTTTCTGGAGTCCGAGACCTCATCTCAGTTCACATTCGACAGGCCTCTTTATGTTACTACTACTGCTAATAATAGTTACCAATTACGTGTATCTACTTCATACACATTGTTTTTATTACCTTTATACTCATAACAATGCTTATTACAGGTTTCGTTAGACCTGTTGGGCCAATAACGAAAGTGAGGTTCAAGGACAAGGAGAGTAGTAGAATCAAATACAGACCTGTTATTTTTCTGCCAGTCACTCTGCTGCTTATGTTTTTGTTGATTTGCTCATCTCTCCATTCATTCAGTATCCCTCCTTTATGACACACAGATGATTGAATTGTGCGGCTTATTGAAATGGAAATGAATGGTGAATATGAATTTTAGAAGTCTGGGGAACGAGGGCAAAAAAATTAGAGTAGAAAACTAAGATGAAGAGAAAAATTAGGGGAGAAAAGGAGCAGCCACAAAGTCTCATCCAACTGGTATAGTTGAAGCCAGAGTTTGGCTCAAGGCTTTGGGTAGTCAAAGAGAAAAAATAGTAGTGAAGCAGAAAGCTCTTGACTGGGAACCCGGAGAGCAGATTTATCACTTCCTAGTTTTGTGCCTATGGGCAAGTCATTTCTGTGAGCCTCAATTTCCTCATCTGTCTTAGGCTAAGGGATATTAAAAGGATTCAGTGGTACATGTACTGAAACACTGTATACCTCACCGAGTTTAAAGTATTGTTGTCACCATTATGATTGCATATGGAGTGGTTCTGAGCAGAATCCCTGGACCAGGATTGTCTTTGGGCAAACGTGTGACATTTCTTAACCTCAGCTGTGTCATGGGTAAAAGGCCTCAGTGGCTTGGATGAGCAGTGTGCCTCCTTCTAGTTGAGGCATTCAGTGATTCTGTCCCAGCTCACTTTTCCGCTGCAAGCATCCAGAAAGCCATAACCACGCAGCCAACCAGAATCCAGATACACTTGAGCACGCATATGCTCGGAAAGGTGTCCGGTAATTCAGCTCGTGCCTTGACAGTTGATAAGAAAGAGAAAAGTCTCAGGGAACAATGAGTTTGGCGTTTTCATTACTGTCGCAGATGATAGGGATCACTGCTTGGCCAATAGTGAGAACTGTCAAAAAATCTAATGTTAACACAATTAGGTAGTGTCATTTCAGCCAGGTTCGGAAGGCAGTTCTGAAAAGGAATGCCTTCTATGTATATAAACAACCTACTCCCACTCAGGCCATATGATCTCCATAGTGGAGGCATCTCTATTAGCTCTAAGTCACAGGGTCTCAGTGAAGAATAATGAATAAAAAACAAAATGCTGAGAGAATGAGAGCCACGCATAAATAAGCAAACATCTTTTGAAAGCAAGTGTCTCTCTTGCAATGGGCTTGAGTGCCAGCTACAAATAAAAGGGAAGTTTCAGTTCTTTGAGGGCAGGAAATGTGTCCTAGTCATTCGTACACTTCTCGTAGGGCTAGCATGGCGTCTAGCGCATGGGAGACATTTGGGAGAAGTCGTAGAGGTTGAAATGAACAGAACAAAGGCCACTCAGTCACTGTTGTGTTTCAGAGCAAGGTTTTGCAACGTGGGCTTTACTGATATTTGGGGTCAGGTAATGCTTTGTGGTGGGGCGTGCCCTGTGCTTGGAGGATGTTGAGCAGCCTCCCTGCCTCCACCCACTAGATGCCAGAAGCACACACATCCTGTCCGCCTAGTCCTGACAGTCAAAAATGACCCGAGATTTTGCCAAATGGCCCCCAGGATTTCAGTTGCCCCAAATTTAGAACCACTCTTTTAGATTATACAGGTATTCTAGAAAAACCTTCTAAAGGCTAAGACACTTGCGTAAGTGAACTCCTAATTAGGCTTCCGATTGATTTCATCTGATAAGTAGGACCAGTACACCTCTCTCCAGCTGGCAGCTCAGGCTGGGTTCTCAGCCTTCCATAAGCAATAGGCCACTTCAAACCCAATTTGGAATCCAGTTACACTAACACTTATTCAACAGCTGTCGAGCATCGGGGTGTTCTCGTGTTGCTTACCTCACTTAAACCCACTAGAGCGAGTCGGTTCCATAATCATGTCATAAAACAAAACAGACTTCCTTTTCAATTAAAAAAAATTAATGTTTTATTGTAAAGAAAGTGAGTGAAACCAGTCTTTATATCCTTTTATCCATGAGCATCACCTTCAGAATGTTTTGAGTAGAGGATCAGTTGGACCAAAAGCTCACAGCTGGGCGGACAGTGTAGACAGAGCTGTGTTAAATCCCAGCACTCCTGTTCCATGGCTCTCTTGACCCCGAGAAAATCCCTTCACCTCTCGGAGGGCAGTTTCTTCATCAGGAAAGAACAGTAGGTCCAACACTGCTTCGCCATATTTGCATTAGAGAACGCAGTGAGTACAAAATGCCGAGCACTGTGCCCAGCTCACTGGGCACACAGCAGATAGCATCGTTCTTCTAAATATAAATCCATCAAGGTAAAAGGTACTCAAATATAAATCCATCAAGGCAAAAGGTACTCAACTATAAATCCATCAAGGCAAAAGGTACTCTCACTAAGTTTGATAATCATTTGCTGTCTGAAAAGCAGCCAGATTTTGGAATTTCTGGGCAGTGATGGGGGGTGGGCAGTGGCATTTAAAATTTAGCTACTAAATCAAGCCACACCACCTCCTCACTTGGGGCTGAGCCAGTGACTGGCGTTTTAATGCCAAATTAGAAATTATTTAAAGAAAAATAGCTTCAAATGGCATATTTGTTCTAACCTCTGGAACAAATGGGAGGAAGAACATGTGGGAAGTCCAGGACAGAAGATGCATGTCTTTATGGAGTGAGGGATAAAGTTGTCAGCAGCAACCTCCCGTTTTCCCACATCACAGAGGCACTCGTCATTCAACACGTGTTCTACACACACCTACCATGTGTAAGGATACAAAGCCTGCTTCCACCAGCCACCATCTATGGGGCCTTGAGCAATTTAGCGACCTCACTTCCCTTAGCCGTGAAACTGGGATCACCCTTACCTCAAAGAGGCTTTATGCGGGTTAGAGATACCGTCCATAAAGTTTCTGACAGTATCCAACATGCAGAAGGCTCTCAATAAATGCATATCGCTGTCCTCTGATCTATTTATTCTTACTGAAGTACATGTATGATGTTAAGAGAGAGAGAAGAAAGAAAAACTGGTTCAGTGATTCTCACCTTCAGCGTGTAGAAACACAGAGTTTCTGAGCCTGTAGGTCTGGGACAGGGGTCCAAGACGGCATCTGTGACGAGTTCCCGGATCTGCTCATGCTGCCGATCCAAGGGCCAATCTTGGAGAACCAACGCTAGCCCCATCCATGGGCACCCACTCCTACCTGTCAAGTGTGGGACAGGACAAGATAAATATGTACAGATGAGGTGTTCAGGGTAGAAAGCAGAGTGCTGGACTTAACTCGATTATAACCAGATCCCCGAGGTCTTGGAGGGGGAGGTACACGGTTGCAGCCACTTAACTCTGTTCCCTCCTTGTGCCTCATTTCTATGTAGCTCCAACCCCAGCCCCTCGACAGAGCTCTCCATCCAAATCATCTGCGTCCCACGCCAGCGATCCCACCACAGATGACATCTTCGAAGAGGGCTTTGAAAGTCCCAGCAAAAGTGAAGAGCAAGAAGCTGTAAGTGACCATCTGTTCTTTCTGGGTTTGCTTTTCCTTAAACTTAAAACCGCTGTATCTGAAATGGACAGTGGGCAAGGAAACCCGCATAGGAAAGAATGCTGGCTCAGAGTCTCAAGTGCTAAGCGGGGCTCCTAGGGGGGCTTTCTTCGATGTTCGAACGAGCAGCTGAAAAATGTCCTTTCGTGAAGTCGTTCCCGCATGTTCCCGCGTTGGTGGGTGTGGTGCCCTCCAACTGCGGTCCCTGTCTCCTTTAAAATAACTGATTATATGTATGCATGAAAATAAGCCCAGCTGTCTTTTGCTTTCCATTGTTGAAAAGACAAAAAAAAAAAAAAGTGTTATCTTCTTGTGTTCTAGCCTGATGGATCACAGGCCTCATCCAACAGTGATCCATTTGGGGAGCCCAGTGGGGAGCCCAGTGGTGATAACATAAGTCCGCAGGCTGGTAGCTAGATAGCACAGGTCTGGGTAGGTATCCGCTCTTTTTATCTACTTCATCCTTAAGCTCTCTGCTTTCCCCTTGGTTTGTCCTTCCATTTCTGAAGTCACATCCCCAATGTTCGCACCATCTCTCCTTGCCTGCTGTTTGCCATCTTGTGTCTCCTCATGGATGCATGACCTTTGACACACACTGCTAGGTAGAGGCAGGGGTGAGGAGTGGGGAATGGTCATATTCTTTTATTAATGATACGTTCTGTAATAGAATGAGGCATGGTCCCTGTCACTCAACGTGGATTCAGTTTCACGAAGCATCAACATTCCACGATGGACACATTCTGCCCACACTGATTCATTTCTCAGTGTGGTGTGATCCAGATGCTTTCATCTTTTAAGCAAAGCACCACTGCATTTGCCTACACTCCACAGATCTAAAGAGGTCACCAGCCAAACATCCTGAGAAGCCAGGCTAAGAGGCAAAACCAAGCAGTGCTTGAAATTAGATGGCTAGAGATGTACAATCACACTAGCCCATTCTGTGTGGCCAGGAGGGCTGATGTAATCTAAGAGTGAAACTCAAAGCTCAAAGACATGTAGCATTCGCTGGAGGCTCTGCTGTTTGCACTTGTGCTAAGGCACATGGCTCACCACTGAACCACTTCAGATTCCATCAGCAGCTACTTTGAAAGAAGTGTACTTACATTTACTGGAAGTGGCTTCTGGCCCTTGAATTTCAATACCTCTGATTTGATCGGAAGAAAGAGGAGCTGATGAAGCAAACCTTCTCAGGAGACAGAAGTACACCTCGTTCCCTAGACATGATTTCTGAGGTCACTCCTTGACAAATGTGTCCAATTTTCAGATACTTTCCTAGTTTTCCGTAAATGTGTAGGACTCCAAGGCTGTACCCACAGAGCTCCTCCTTTAGTCCTGAACAGCATGGTCAGAGCCATTAAAATGGTAAATAGCTTTCACCGTTCATGAATGGATTCTGAGGCTGCCTCAAAATCATTCTCAGTTCACATGGAAGTTATTTTGACGTTATTGAAAACTAATACAGTGTTTGGAAAGTGTATTTTGTTAATAGATTTTATGATTAAAGAACTTAACATACTGTATATTTTGCCACATTTTCTACTCGTACAATAGTATATAATAACACATCATGCCACGCAAAGCCATGTAATACCCCTCTACAAATTCAGTCCTGCAAAGCTATTTGGGAAGCTGGTGAATTAAAGGCAAAGTCAATGTTCCAGAAAGGAGAAGAGCTGGGGATTATGGGTGGATGCCTTGGAAAGATTCCCCAAGAGGTTTTCTACCCCTCGTGTATGTTTTATTTCATGTGCTCAACCTTGTCTTGAAAAATTTGATGAATGAACTAGAGGTGACAAGAGCCATTCATCGGTACAACAGCTAACATCATCCTAAAATTGAAGTTCTTCTAGAAAACAAAGATGACTTACACCATTTGCAGATCCATGTATCAAACCCTCATCTTTATGAGCCTGTTCAGCTTGAGACAAACAAGCTGAACTGTTTCTTGGGGCCTCAGCCTCTAACATGTTTGATGCTCCATCCAGAACCCCAAGCCATGGCTGACTTGTAAATGGACGGAACATGGGACAGTAGGAAGAGCTCAGGATTTGGAACTTGAATTCAGATTCTAGCTCAGCTACTTAATAGCAGGAAACCTTGCAAGAACCATACTTTCTTTTGAGTCTTGGTTTCTTCATCTGCTAGAAGAGGCTTCTATTATCTGCTAGGTTAGCAGAGATAGCAGTTGAGTCTCTAGCATGGAGACAGACACTCAGCACTCAGCTTAAAAATCTGGGCTCTGGAGCAAAACTGAGTTTAGAATTGTGACCCTAATGAGATTTCATAATAACTTGCTCTCTTATTTTTGAAAATAAGGATAAAAACAGTGTCCTCCTCAAAGGGATGTTGTTTGGACGAAATGAGGTAAGCACAGCATCTGACACATAGAAAGCACCCAGTAGATGGTAGCTGTCATCATCACCAGCATGACCATCGTCATACATGCTCAGTAAATGTTCCCAGTACCTTAGATTTTATACATCTTGCCTTGATAAGGAATAAGTTATACCATAAGGACCCAGGCCATTGGCTGGGAGGTTTTGCTATGTACCTCCTATCTTCAGATAATTAATTTTCAATATGCCTCAAAACAGTTTTGGAGGAAAAAAAAGTAGGAAAAGAAAAATTTAGTATCTTAGCTCTCTGGCTTGCCCAGTCCCATAATCCCCCCCCCGCCCCATGAGGGTCTCACAGCCACCTCTCCGTTCCAAAAAATGAGCAGTCTTATATTGACTTATAAGTCATAATCAATAGCTCCCCCCACCGAAAGGCCTGGCCTGTAATCTTCAATGAAACAGTTTTCTCCCTTTGAACACTAAGCTTGGCAGCATCACAGTTGCCTGTCAAGAATCCCATGCCAACAGGCTGATGCCAGGGAAGTCCAAGTGAGCCTTCCTGGGCCCTTCCATCACTAGCAGCCCAAGCCACATTTGACCCTTCCGCCTCTGCCACATTAACTCAATCACCCAACTAGAAATCTACTGACTGCAATTTCTTCGTGCCTTTCCAGACATTTGAAGAAGGGATACCATGCAGGGAAAGCCACATCCATGGCTCTCCTTTCCCCTCTGTCTTCATACAGTTGGAAAGCAGGAGTCTCGTCCTTCTTATCACTCTTGCATTTTATCTCCAGCTGCTTTTCATTAGAAGTACCCTCACAATTCTTAGTAGGTAGGGGGACATCTGTTGATAAGTGAAAGCCATCTCGCACCATAATAAGAGGGAACAAATGGACCCAGTCCTCACAGGTGGAAGCTTCAGGACCAATCTCAAACAGCATTTCTGTTTTAGTAATAAAGGAAATTATTTCGTTTTCTCCCCCTCCCCTCCCATCTGGGAAAATCACGTGTCTTTGAAAGACTGGGTCAACAGGGCCAGAAAAAAAAGAACCAAAATAATATTGTAATGGCTGGTGTGGGAATGGCAGGTAATTTATACTTCACTGATGTGTTGCTGGAGCAATTTTAAGGGCGAAATGTTAGCTTTTGAAGAGATGAAAGAAAAATGAAAACATTTATTTGGTTAAATGGCTAAGTAAATAAACTGCCTATCAGACTTGCCCAGCTGTCAAGTCAAAGTAGCATCTATAACAATGGGGAATTGTTTGGTCTGTCTCCCTTAGTAACGATAGATATTGCCATAAATAATAAGTCGCTGTCATGTTTTTAATACCGATCGTCGTAGTGGGAACCCAAGACACATAAAATATTACCTGATGGATTTCTAGTGTTTGAAGGAAAAGAAAGCTGAACTTCAGCTTTAGGAGGAAGAATCTACAAAAACAAAAACAAAATCTTCTTAAAAAGAAAGAAAAATGCACGGAGTCCGGGACTTAGGTCTGGATTATGGTTTTAAAGCAGGTGACCTTAGGCAAGCACGTAACCCCTTGATACCCTGGTCCCTCACATGGATACATATGGATAATTAATTATAACAGCTCCCTCCCCAGGCTGTTCCAGAAATCAGAAATCATGAATATGAAAGTGTTTTGTAAGCTTTGAAAGCAGAATACATGTATTTGGAATTATTGTTACTTTTTTTTATTATTATGTTGTGTTACTATTCCGGTTTTAAATAGAATGAAACAGCAGAGCCTTAAACCAGGGAACCACACCAAAAAGAAAACAAAAACAAAAACAAAATAATCTGTCTGTCTCTTGGACATAGCGCTCAGAGGCAAGTCCAACCCAAGGTGTTGAGAGTCGTGTGGTCAGGAGATGGGAGGGGCCCGGCTAAGGGCCAGGTCAGCCAGGATGGAGAGGTGGGCTTGGTGCCCAGAAATATTTAAAAGATGAAGTCAGGAGAAGGTTAAGCCTGAAGGGAAATGTGAAGTGAGGATGAGGTCATAACCTAGGATGAGCCCCACATCCCTGATTTGGGAATCTAGGGGGTGCCCAGTCACTGTGCTAAAGAACACAGGACAGCATGCTTGAGCAGAGAGAGGGCGGGTTTACTTTGAACTTGAGTTGTACTTGAGATGCCCATGAGACACCCAAGTAGAGATGCCAGAAGGCCGCTAGATTTTATCTGGAGGTCAAAGGAGAAAACCAGACTGGGCACAGCAAGATTTCAATATGGTTTTAGGTCTAGAGGAGTGGGCACAAGCAGAATATGCTGATCATCTAGACCAGAGGTCAGCAAACTGTTTGTAACTATCTATGCTTTGTGGGCTAGGTCTCTGTTGCAACTACTCTACTGTTAGAGAAGGAAAGCAGCAAAAGACAGTGCATGAAGGAATGGATGTGGCTGAGTTCCAATAATACTTTATTTAAAATACTTCATTAACTGGGTGTTGGGCATTAAGGAGGGCACGTGATGTGAGAGCACCGGGCGTTATATGCAACTAATGAGTAATTGAACACTACACTGAAAACTAATGATGTACTACATATTGGCTAAATGAATTGAAATTAAAAAAAAAAAGAATATAAAAAAATTAAAACAGAGAGCCACCAAAATTAGCCAATGGGTTATGGCTTGCTGACCTCTGATTTAGATCCCACTCACTATTTCTAGAATCACTCTGCAGAAGACAATCACCATGCCTTTCATTTACTACTAATAATAAAATATATTTTAAAATTACAAGCATGTTTATAACACTTTCATAAACATCACCTAATTCAATCCTCCGGGGAACCCACTTAAGTATTTTGATCATTCCCATTTCACAGATAGGGCAGGTAAGGTGAAGAAGTTAATGGCTTGCTGAAATAAGATTCACTCGTAATGGGGCTAGGATTTGAATCTATACCCAGATTAAATAACTCAAGAGTTCTCACCCAGACCAGAATACATGGGTTTAAGCAGCTTCTCTTCAACTTAACAGCTGTATGACTTCATTTCCAACCTCTGGTTCTTCTCTTCTGTAAAACAATTCCCATATGCTCTCCCCACTGACATTCTCGGACCTCCTAACCTGCCTGGGTCAC